GCCGACAGAGGGTTTATGGAAAGAAGAAAGCCACACAGATGGCTAGAACATTTGCCCAAGATGTGTTGATTATTCTCCTTTTGTGCAGGGCCGTGGGACCAAACTTTGGCTTCTGCTCTCCAAAGAGCCATTGGGAAGTTGGTAATTCTCCATGTCCGGTTCACAATTGCTCAGGGACTGGCTCTGAGGACCTTGTGCAGCCACACGTTACTTCTCTTCCACTCCTCCTTTCAGGATGGATAGCAATGCATGAAATTCCCTTCCTGCTTCAGTTACTTGGAGTCACGTAGCATGTGCAATAAACACTGAGTGACAGTTTGTGCCTGTTACAGTTGGTGATCTCCTGGAGCAGAGATAAAGTGAGCTGAAGACGCTGATGCACCTACATTTTTCTGTCTTCTCTCCAAGGAGTCTCAGACACACCCAGACTGAACCCTATGTCATCCGGATTGTCTGTACTCAGAGTGGGGTCCATGGGCCAGCGGCATCAGCATTGGGTCTTATTAAAAATGCAGAACCCCGGGCTCCTTCCAGAATAGCTGAATCATAATTTGCTTTTTATGAGATTTCCGGGAGGTCCACACGCCCATTAAAGTTTGAGAAGTACTGATCCAGGGTAGCAGTTGGCAGGCATTTCCTGTTTGGCTTTGGGGGACAGACAGCCTCTGTTACAACTACTCCTTTTGGCTACTGTAGCATGAGAGCCGCCGTAGATCCTATAGCAACAGATGGCCGTAGCTGTGTTCCAATAAAACTTTATTGATAGAACCAGATGTGGGCGGGCTTAGCCTGTGGGTGTATTTTGCTGATCCCTGCTCTTGGTTGTAACCTCAGGAATGGAATTATGGGTCATACGCGTTTTTGTCTTCAACCTTGACATTACCAGCTAGTTCTGCAGTGCTGTATCACCACTTTAAACTCACTGCGTGAAAGGAAGTTTGTGTTCACCTATTTTGCAACACTCGGTTTTTGATGGACTTTTCAGCCTTTGTAAGTCGAGTGGGTGTAACATGGTTTTAACCTACGTCCCTCCATTGAATGTCTTTGCCAATATCTGTTGTGTACTAGGTTTCCTCTTCTACAATTGCCTCTTCTATTGGGATGCTTTCTTTTTGCTATGGACTTCTCAGAGCTCTTTGTATATTCTGAATATGCATCCTTTCGGGGGGAGCCTCATGTAGATTTGTCCAGCTCAACTTTTCATTTTATTCCCAGCATGCTTTGCAGTACAAAAGCTTCAAAATCGGATATAACCAAACGTATTAGTCTCTCTCTCTCTCTCTCTCTCTCTCTCTCTCTCTCTCTCTCTCTCTCTCTGTCTCTCTCACTCTCTCAGCACGGGGTCTTGCTTTGTTGCCAAAGCTTGCTTCAAACTCCTGGGTCCAGATAACATTGTCCCTCAGCCTCCTGAGGGCTGGGACCGAGGAGCTGTACGCCAGTGTGGCCCCCAGTCATTTCTTTTATGGTTTGTAACCTTTGTCTTGTTCAAGATTCTTTCAGTATATCAAAATCAAAAATATCATCTTTTTTCTTTGTGTTCCAGGTATCAGTGAAAGACAAGGAAACAAAATGTATGGCTTTCCTGCCATTCTGATAGTCCAGTGAGGGAGACAGTTTAAAAAAACCAAAACAAACAAGAGAATGTATAGCAGAACCAAGGAGGAAGAAAGGTAGAGGGTTTGTGAAGGCAGGGATGAGCAGGTTATAATAACTGAAATGGGAAAATCAGGAAGGGTTTTGTTGGAAATGTGACATTTGAGCAGAGACTTGAAGAAGGATGCTGTACTTGTAGCCAGGGAAGAGCACTCCCTTGGAAGCAAGAACAGCCTGTGCAAAGGCCCTGAGGCAGGATCACACCTGGTATTTTGAGG